ACTGGACCAGCAAGCAAATATTTGCATAAAATATGAAGTTTTATGAAATCATAAACCTCAACAGGCATATGAACGAGCACACTGTACGAAACACCACACATACAAATGCCCTAACCCTCCCCGTGAGATGAATTAAAACAATAAACTAAAAAGCAGTACACACCTTTAATGCAATTTTGACTCTTTTAATCTTTTTGACCTTTTCAACTGTCTTTGGCCGACAATGTAAAAAGCAGATTGGAAGAACGTTAGTACGACAGCTGACAAGATCACCAGCAGATCAATAATCGTCAGAATAGTCAAACATGACGAAAAAAAAAAGACTATATTTTTAAACTCTGCCTACTTCAGTAAGTACAAATGTGTCATACTACTGAGAATACTGGCCATTTTCAAATTATATCAAGTTAAAAACAAATACACTTTTTAAATCTTTTAAAAACAACTCCTATATTATAACTTACAGGATTGAGGGTATTACACTGGTCTATAGGATTCTTGTAATCAGTCTTCAGCTCATCAAATGCTATAATCTAAAATAAAATTAAAACGGTTAGCACCATTCACTTTTTTTAAAAAAGCAGCAATAAACCTGCCCCATCATCAAATAGTTACTGAATAGTCAATAAAGCAAAAGTACACCAACAAGTACCAATTTACAGTTAACTCAATATATGCTTGGAAAGAAAAAGGAATCAGATTTAAAGAAATGAAAACACTTTTATGTCATTATCACTAAAGTAATCTATTACAGTATCACTGTGATAAATCTCTTTAATTTCAGGTTCTTCAACGCCTCTGTTCAAGTTATTTTCTCTACTTGAAATGATCTTTCCTTCACCTACACAACTGCTCATCCAAATTCCTCTTTATCTTAATAAAAAATATAAAGAAAGAAAGAAAGACCCTTTTCCTATGTCAACTCCTCTTTAGGTTTTCCTGACACCCTCAGGCAAAAATAATTGCATTCTTGTCTGCATTTCCATACAGCACAAGGCTTTGTGGTGTTGCCAGTATGGTATTTCTCACATGAGAGGACTGCATTTACATTCCAGATTGTATGCCTGTGTGCAACTCAGGAAAAAGGGCCATTTTTAATTATCTGTGTGTGCCTATCCCTTGGCACAGTGACACTAGAGATAGACTCCAACACATCAATTTGTTCCCAACTGCGCCAAAACACATACATTTCGAAGAATGTTTCTGTCCACACCCTGCAGGAATGTGGCTTTAATCTGAAGTTCTGCATTCAAAGATAAAATGTACCAAGAATCAGAAAAAAAGACTACTCACCACTTTGTAGTGTTAACATAGGTATCAAAGAAAGAAGCCAAAGGCAGCAAGTTTAAGAGGGAGCTATATTAGTTGCTGTCCAAAAACTAACTACAATAGTAACTCAGGGAACACATAATCTAACCCACCCTACCTTGTTGGGTTAGAAATATTATGTTAAGTTTGCTATTGGGCTTGTGTGCTCACAGAGGGGCTTAGGGGGAAAAATTACCCCCCTGGGGGGTGGGGGGTGGCCACTCCACCACCCTTCTCCATTATCCTCTTGAGATTTTGGGCACACACACACACCCGCACCTGGCATTGTTTCTCAAACCGCCAGGTCCAGGACTTGAACTGAACAGCCAGCCATGTGGGATCTGCCACCTTAACTTTTGTGCCACCTACTGGCCCTGAAATATTATCTTTATATGTGAGAAAGTGTTACTCAATATTGTCATCAATCAGTAAAGATATATTTATAACTTTTAAAATGTTTTATTTCCATTTCTTAGTTTCATAAAAAGATGGATTTTTTTTTAATTTCTAGAATTTGATAAAGTTCACCAACCTGCCCGAATTAAAACTTTAACCAAACAGAAGTAGAATAAAATTTTAAAAAAACGTTAAAATGTAATTTGCAAGAGAGCAAAGATTTTTGTTATATTTACTACTATGTCCCAGGGCCTAAAATATACAATAGTCCTAAAATATACATAGTGAAAAGATCAATTAATACTTATTGAATGGGAAGGTATTTTTAAAAAGCACTATGGGATCAGCAGTTGGTTATTGGCTATGTCACTGGACTCCCATGTAGTCGACTACAGTTTGAGTCCTGGACCCAGTGGCTTAAACACACGCCGGGCGCATGTGCGTGTGTGCCCAAGATCTCGAGAGGAGAGTGAAGGAGAAGGGATTGTGGCATGGTCATCCCCCAGGGGGTGATTTCTAGCTTTCTGTCTCTCTGTCTCTCTCTGTCTTTCTGGCGAGCATACACGTCCTATAGCAAAAACCTCTCCCAAAAAAAAAGCACTAGAGATATGCATTTTAGTAATAAAGTTCAAGACAAGAACGATAATCATAAATATAATTACTTGCCTACAATAAGATTCAATTCTGCTATTACAGCAGAATACAAAACACCTTTAATATCAATTATTTTGACTAGACGTTTTCTTCAAGGACTTCAAGAGTTCTTTGAATATGATGTTGACTGGGGTTCTTTTCTACAGCTAGAGTTTTCAAAACAACTCTGAAAGATTTTTTTTTTTTTTTAAGAGATTTTTTGCTATAGGGAGCATGCGCCTCAGTAAGGACAGAGAGAGATGGACAGAAAGCGAGAAATCCCTCTGCAGAAGGGATGACCACCCCACAATCCCTTCTCCTCCATTCTCCTTGGGGGATTTTGGGCATGCATGCACACGTGCCCAGGGTCAGTTTCAAGCTGCTGGGTCTGGGAAGCGAACCATGTCAACTATGTGGGTGTCCAGCCATGTAACCATTACTCCATCTGCTCGTCCAGAGAGTCAGATAGATAGATAGATAGATAGATAGATAGATAGATAGATAGATATAGATAGATATAGATATAGATATATATTTTGGAGAGGTTTTTGCTATAGGGTGCGTGTGCAGAGAAACAGAGAGACAGAAAGCGAGAAATCGCCACCAGCCCCCCAGGGGGATGGCCATACTGCAATCCTCCGGACACAGCGTTGAATTTAAGCCACCAGGTCCCGGACTCAAACCGCAGTCGACTACATGGGAGTCCAGCGACATAGCCATTACGCTAACTGGTGGTCCCCCAGAAATTCTTAAATTAGTGGTTTACAGACCTTTTGCAGTTGAGCAAAGACATTCATAAAGCATCTAAAAAAAAAAAAGGGGGGGGGGGGAGCAGCTCACAACTATAAGAGTCCTCATCATCCCAGAAAAAGAAAAGGAAAAAAAAGCACCCAGCAAGAATAAACCGAAAGCCACATCTACAAACGGAAGGGAACCAAGTTTCATTTTCACTGGAGTCTTACTAAGGCCAGACAAGCCAGCCTCCAAATTATCTTTTATTATTTTTCCACCAAAGATGCTCAAGCTCTACTGACAAGCATTTTGAAGTACCAGTTATTTATAACACCGGTAAAAGGCTATGT